TAATCCTCCCCATATGAACATCTCAAAGAGCTATGCAAGTCATATCAACACTATTATAGCTTTACCGGCACCATTTAAAAAAATATTTTAAGTACAGTCATGCAAATTCTGTCATGTAAATGTTTTCAGTGTAACATCATTACTGTAAGGTATGCGGTACATTCCATGCAGTTACCTTTTTCAATGGGGTGATTGACTGATAACAAGTGTTCATATTTTGCACATCAAGTGTCAATTAGTGTAGCTATGGTCTAAGTTTATGAGGAGTAAGTGTTATCCACTGTGAGAAGATTATTTTGTTCTGTAGACATGAGTTACACAAAAGATTTTTGATGTTTGTGTAGAGAATTGTAACTTCAGTTAGAGAGTTGTGTGATCTGTTTTGCAAAACACTGCTTAGCATCTGCATTTTGTGCGATATCAATGATAAATGGTATACTGTTGTAGAGAAATGGTTTTCTGTTTCGATGGCTGTGCTGTTGGTTTGATGAAAGGAATTTTGATTCTAAATAGTGGGTTTAGCGATTGAGAAAAACTATAATAGAGAGTGTGTAGTGTGTGTGTGTGTGTGTGTGTGTGTGTGTGTGTGTGTGTCTGTGTGAGAAAGAGAGAGTGTGTGTGTGTGTGTGTGTGTGTGTGTGTGTGTGTGTGTGTGAGTGAGTGTCTCTTTGTGTGTTAGTGTGTATGTCTGTGCATGTGTGTGTGTGTGTGTGTGTGTGTGTGTGTGTGTGTGTGTGTGTGTGTGTGTGTGTGTGTGTGTGTGTGTGTGTGTGTGTGTGTGTGTGTGTGTGTGTGAACTTCTAGGACCTTGTACTTAAAGTTTAATAAGTATTACATTGTGCAAAACAGTGGCAACAATAGAAGTGCGTGACAATACACAACGAGATGTTGAAAGACAGAAGAGGAAGCAGAACATCAGACATCATCAAAACTAAATGAAAATAACCCTCAAAAAAGAGGAAAACTATCAGAGATGGAGGTTATTTCATGGTATATTTTTGAGTGTGTCTGCAGTATCAGAGGTGTGTGGCGCAGTGGGCTAGTGCTTTGGTGTTCGGATCACAGGTTCAAACCCCACTGCAGTCAGCATGTCGTTGTGTCCCTGAGACACTTCACCCCAAAGTGCTCCTGTGGGGATTGTCCACAGTATTGAGTATGTAAGTCGCTTTGGACAAAAGCGTCTAACAAGTGACATGTCATGTTATGTAATCATTAGAATATCAACCTATAAACCCAGTTTGTCTTCTTATATTTAAATATTGTAAAATTGTGCACCCTTGTATCTGTCCTTAACATGAAGCTGATTGTGTTGATAACGCGTTTTAAGAGCTTGCTTAAGAGATAATTAGAGAACATTTTAAAAGCTTTGTACTCCTTTCATTTTAAATACTGCACTGGCGACATGTTACCACTAGAGGTCATTACATGCATTAATGGAGGATATCTCTCTTCTTTTTCTATTTTTGTGTACTTTATATTATTTTGGTATTAGTGTTATTATTACTACAGCATTTTATGCAATCAATTAGCAAACTGAAAACCAATTCATAAGGTGTTCCTAACCTCCTCCTACCTGTTCCTCAGATGACGATGATGAGTGTTCCACCTGTCAGAGGGCGTGTGTGCGTGCGTGCGTGCGTGCGTGCGTGTGTGTGTGTGTGTGTGTGTGTGTGTGTGTGTGTGTGTGTGTGTGTGTGTGTGTGTGTGTGTGTGTGTGTGTGTGTGTCATTCATTAGACAGACAGGCAGCGCAGGTTGAACAGCCTCAGAGCAGACACTCAACAAACTGGACACTTGTTCTACCGACTGCACACTGCAATGACTCTTTATTAATATCTCATCAGAGGATCATACGCTGTGGGTCTGAGGGGACACACACACCGGGACAGCTTCAGCAACACACACACACACACTTACAAACACACATGGAGATTGAAAGCATGGTGGCAAACAGCGCGCTCATTAAAGCCAGAGAAGGTAAGAGAAACTGCTTTAGGAAACCAAAAGGTGCAAAAATAAATTGTATTATTGTTATTATTGGCTGCTATTTGACTACTTTGAAATGTTCTCTTGCTTCCTTATCATGATACTTCTTATTTTGTAACATTGTCATGCACCTAATCGGGCTAATTACCTCTTTCTATATTATTAAATTCTGCTATTTCTTATTTTTGCCCCTAATTATGTACTTTTTGGACTTTAATACACACGTGTACCTTTTTATTTAATATGTACACTAACCTTTATGATGCTACTTCTTATTTTTCATCATGGTTGTGTACTTTTTCAATTATTTAATAAGGGTTTTCCACTTTATTTTTCACATTTGTACTTACATTATTAATGCCAAATCTTATTTTTTGCTCAAATGATACTTATTCATTTATTAAAAGCGCATTTCCTCTTTTTACTTAATTTTTTAATGCTAAATATTACTTTTTTCCGGATAATTATTCCAATTGCTTGTTTGTTTGGTTTTTTTACCAAATATTGCATAATGTTTCTTCTGCCTGTGTGAGGAGGACCCAGGTGTTGTTGGGTGAAGTGAGGACGTGCTAAACATCACGGTTTACAAGTGATCTCATCTCCAAGGCTCTCTTGATTGATTATTTTTGTTGTTATTATATATTTATTTATTTTAATGTATAATACTATTAACTGATTTTTATTGTACTATTATTATTAAAAAATATATACATTATTATTAATATTTTAAAGTGCAAGTACAGTAGTTACTTTCCTGACCCCTTCTCTCCTCATCCAAATCATTACTTAAAAATTGAGATTGGAGAGGAACGCTGATCTTGTTCTTGAGTAAAAGTAGAAGTACTCAGATCTAGTACTTGATTAAAAGTAGAAGTACTCAGATCTTGTACTTGAGTAAAAGTAGAAGTACTCAGATCTTGTACTTGAGTAAAAGTAGAAGTACTCAGATCTTGTACTTGAGTAAAAGTAGAAGTACTCAGATGATCTTGTAGTAAAAGTAGAAGTACTCAGATCTTGTACTTGAGTAAAAGTAGAAGTACTCAGATCTTGTAGTAAAAGTAGAAGTACTCAGATCTTGTACTTGAGTAAAAGTAGAAGTACTCAGATCTTGTAGTAAAAGTAGAAGTACTCAGATCTTGTAGTAAAAGTAGAAGTACTCAGATCTTGTACTTGAGTAAAAGTAGAATTACTCAGATCTTGTACTTGAGTAGGTAAACAGAGGTGAGACGCGCTGATCTTCAGAGTAATGCTGTCCTTCAGGCTCCGCTCTATAAATACTTCTCTCTCAGTGAAACCAGACGGGCTGCATGTACCTGTCTCTCAAAGTGAGACGTGTCACTCTAC